CCTGCACAACTGCTATCATGTGCCTAGTTCTTCTCCCCAGTAATCCTGTCTCAGGAGCCAATGCCAACACTGAAAAGGTCTAACCATTTCCCTTTTTTGTCCTCATGTATCCGTTACTCCAGAATAGAACTGAACTCGTCAGCACACAAACAGGGCCCTGGCTGTGCTGAATGTACCTCTCTGTCCACATCTATTGTCCCTTGACTCAGCATTAGCAGACAGAATCCATATAGTTATTCCCTCTTCCTCATGAACACAATGAGGCTTGTGGTTTAAGTAAAACCTGCTTTAAGGAGAAAGAGCTATGGGAGACCCTGCTCTTCCACCTGATTTCAGTCTTATCAAGTTGTATCCAGTCATTTTTTTTCAGATCAGTTTGTCCTTGAGCAATCTTTTTCTGGCTCTACCAGCCAGGCTGAAGAATCCTCCATATTTCCATGGTGCTCCCTGCTACCTTCAACTTGGCACTATTACATCCAGTTAAAAGGATCTTTGCCTGGATCAGTCTTTCCAGCTAGATCATGTGCTTAAGACAAAGGCCACTTTTGATTTAGCTTTAAATTTCCTGCCTCTGACAAGGGCACCTTACCTGGTAGGCATTCAGTGTACCATGCCATGCTCATTCACAGAGCTTCAAGCAAATTAATTCTAGCCCTGCGCTTCTCCAACTTAGACATGCACATGAATCACTTGGAGATCATACTAAAATGTAAATGTTGACTAAGTAGACTTGAAGTGGAACATGAGATTTTGCATTTCTAACAAACTACCATGCAATTCTGAAACTGCAGTTCTTGGGTATGAGCTACACTTTGGGTACTGAGGACTTAGCCACAGCTATAAACTCAGGACACATGCAAGTCAATTTATGTCCATTATATCATGCTAAGGAAACATTATTTGTTCTGTAGAAACTGAAGAGTAAGGGATGCTTTGTTCTGTTTGCTGCTCTCATCTTACAATATCCATCATTCTGGAGTGTCATTTGTGTGCTTGTTTGGTGTTTCTGTGAAGACACTTCAATCGCTTCTCGGCCTTTTGGCTAAGATCAAGTGTGAAGACACTTCAGTCTGCTTTTCAGTCAAACTTTTGTGCAGCTGCTGCTATCCTCATCTGGTTTGTTCTCTTTCCACTGTACAACAAATGTCCAAGATAAGTGACTTTAAAAGAAGAAGGCTTGGGGCTGGGGGGTTAGCTCAGCGGTATAAGCACCTGCCTCGCAAGCAGGCAGTCATGAGTTCGATCCCCGGTACTGAAAAAAATGAAAAAGACAAAAAAAAAAAAAAAAGAAGGCTTTATCTTAGCCCACAGTTTTGGAGGTTTCTGTCCACTTTCAGCTGAGTTGGCTGCTTTGCAATTGGGGTGAGACAGTATATCATGGTGGGAGTGCAACCACAGGAAACAACTCATCTCTCAGAAGCTGATAGCCAAAGAGAGAAAGAAAGAGGCCTGCGGGCCAATATCCCCTTCAAGGGTACAGCCCAGTCCCTTAACTTCCTTCCACTAAGCTTTACCTCAGAAGGTCCCTCCATTTCCCTATCGCGCCATGGATCCAGGACCAAGTCTCAGCCCCACACCTTTGGGGCATTCGAGATCCAAACCGTAGCACCATCACAGGAGGTAGAACTTCCTCCCCTGCCAACTTTGTGTGGAGAACTGCTGTTAGAGAGCCTTGCCCCTGTTAAAGGAGTTCTTTAACACAAAATCTAAACTCAACTTGAGGAATATGAGTTGGAGAGAAGAGACATAAGCAGCAGGACATTACCCAGGTTCAGCAAGATGGGAGTTATTTATTCATCCCTTCTTAAATTAAAAAAGTGATTGAACTCCTATTTAAGTTTCTAGTCTTCTATATGTTGAGATGTGCTGGGATGGTCAGGGTGAACAAAGAAAGGTACAGAGGTGAACTGTGGACAAACATGCCAGAGTCCTGGACTGCCTCTTTGGCACTCTAGGAATAGGAGAGGACCTTTGGAGGTATAACAGCTCATGCTAGAGAGAAGGAGAGAAGTTTCAAGGAGATGAAAAGAAGTTTCTAGGGAGACCTAGAGGGGCTGCACAAACCTCCATCTACGACTATTGTACTTCTCACCCCCACTGCCCATATGTAGATAAAAGACTTAAGCATTGTATTTTAAAAACTCAAGTGAAGTTTTCTAGAGCTCTCACAGGATTCTTAGTCATCCGTAATTCTGAACAGCTGTCTTACAGTGCATTGTCTCATATCACATAAGGTTCCAGCAGCTCAGCAGTGGGTCATTTCTGCAGAGTCCTTGGAGAAATGGGTGCCTGACGCCTGTGCCATGCTTCCTCTTGGAGGGCATGCAATTTTGCTCATAGCTTCGGTATTGATTCAAGAGTTTTCTGTAGTTTACTGTTTTTTAAAGTAAAAACAATGAACTTGTTTTTCAGCAACTCACCATACTTGCAGTGACCTCAGAATCCCAATCCCAGGCATACTGGCCGCTGTACAAATGCTGATCACACACAACCAATTTCCTTACTCACTCAATGCACAGACAAATGGCTCTTTATAGCTTTTGTTCTCTTGCCATTGCTCATGCCAAGTTTCCTCCTCTCCGCCACAACAGACCATATTTAACTTTCATGGAAAGCTTATTCATTCAGTCATCAAATATCTTTATTGGATTTCTAGTCAGTGCCATGTACCATTCTGGGAATGGAGGGTGTAAGAATGACATCAGTGACATCTTCAATTTAATGAGCCATTAAAAGCCTCCCTAATGATGACCCAGGGGAGAGAGCCAGGTACCAGAAGAATATGCAGTGGAGCAGGTGTTATGTTTATAAGTTTTGTAAGATTATTGACAGCCAGCCTAAAAGAATGAATGGGAAAGAGGCCAGGGAAGAGGACCCTTGTCTTGGGAAGAGATTAGGCTGGAAAGGCAAGAAAGGTTAAAAGATCAGAATAGAAAGTAACCTTTAGAAACATCCAAAGTGCTGGGACCATAAAGGAACGGAAAGGAAAGCATTATTATTACCTTTAAGTAAAGATTTAGGGTGACCCTTCAAGTGTTCTCCAATTATTTAAATCCTAAGTGCTTTTTTTTTCTTTTTTGACTTCCAAGGCAATTACTAGCTCTACTTACCAGTTTTACTCTCTGAATTTAGGTACTGTATTTTTTCTTATCATACTATGGTCATTCTCTGCTTCTGGTTCTTGATTTTTTAAAAAAGCTTGATTTTTTTAAAAACCACAGTATACATTCAATTATTACATTTTTAATTGAATGTCCAAAATACATAATATATATTTAATTTTTTTAACAATTGCATCCAAAAACAAAGAGTAAATCTTAAATACATTTTCCTATCACCCAGTTTAAGAAAGAAAATACTCTCTCACTTTACCTCTTCCCACTGAAAGATAACCACTGTCTCGAGTCTGGTGTTTGTTTCTCCACATACACCTTCACTCTTACAGTAGGGTTTTCAGTAGTCATATATGGCATTACTTTTTTGGAATTTTGTATATAATTTGTCATAAATTTATATAAATGACATTATAAAGTATTTCTCTGCAACTTTTCTGGTTCACTATTATCACTGAGATTCGTCTGTGCTATGGGTGTAGCTCTAGTTTATCAGTTTAACTGGTGTATCACATTCTATTATATGAATACACCACATTCAGACATTTAGATTGGTTTCCACTCTTTACTAAAACACACAGTGCTTCCATGAGCACATTTGCATTCGGTCCCTTGTACGTGTGGGTGAGACCTTCTCACACTCAGATCTTCAGATCAAGCAGTGGAATTATTAGCTGTACTGGATATTGATAAAATGTTGTCAAAGCTGTGATGATTCCATGCCCTCAGCAGAACGAGTCGCCATGGTTTCATTTTATCACCATGTCACTTTCAGATTTGGGACCCGATGTGTTCTTCATGCATACATTTGCACACACTTATATGTGCCTACAGGTATGTGAGTACACGCATATGCACACGCGTGCGCACACACACACACACACACACACACACACATCTTCCAGGGCTCTTACAGTAGGGTTTTCAGTAGTCATATATGGCATTACTTTTTTGGAATTTTGTTGGAAAGAGAAAACTCTATAAAAGAATAGTTTAGTTTATAACTCAGAGTGCAATAAATAGGTACTTTTTTAAAAATTCCAGCAACTTAGAATTATTTTCAAATTATATAAATAACAATAATGGTAAGGAAAACTGTGTGGAAAAATGCTCAATTGCTAATAGTCATCCCCTTAAGAGTCATTTTATCTTTTATTCAATACATGCTCATTAGTTTGGTAATTACTTGTTGCTTTAATCAAACTGAATGATTTTTAAAACTAATTTGTTAGTGGTTTCTTTATGTACATTTTCCAAATATATTTATTCCAAATATAGGTATTCTAATGTATGTGACTAAAATTACATAAAAATAGGACAAGTTTATGGGTTAGATTTGTCTTTATTTTGGAATTTGTCTCTTGCTATGTTGTGACAAAAGCATCTCTAGCCATATAGAATGTTTATGTATTTCTACAATTTTTTAGTAGTGTGTGTAACACATAGTTGACCAGATTCCCTGTGTGGAGTTACTACATGTACTTACATCCTAATTCCTTTTTTCAATCCCTTTCCCTCTCTCCCTCCCTCCCCCTTCCCTCTATTTCTTGATCTCCTTCCCATGTGAGAAAGGTCTATCTTCCTACCTCCTATTATCTGTGATATATTGCAGCAAAAAATCAAAATGTACACAAAGCAAAGTACACTAAAACATAGAACAAATGATCACAAGACAAAAGATAAGCACCTACTCATTTTTCTTTGTCATGAGTTGATGACATTCTTTGGTAGATGTCTTGATGGATAGAAATAATAGACTACAGGGGAATCAGCCTGACTGCTATGCTTTACAGGCAGTCAATTCTGTGGCAGTATTGGGGTTATACCATATCCAAAGACATATGCATGGATTTCCAATGCTATAAATAAGTTTAAAATCCAGAGAAATTCTAATTTTAAATTCTTTTTATTCAGGAATCCAATCAGAGATAGGTATGTGATGGGAATTATGACAAAACCTTTTTTTTAGACAGCTACATCATCAAAGTTGCTGAAAATTCATAAACAGAGATACCAAAAAAAGATTCAGTTAATGCTTCAAGTTTGGTTTTCCCAGTTCTTGGGAAAAATGAAATCATTCCCAGTTGCTTAGATCCATTCATTGATGTCTTTACCCAGAAATTTTTTCCTGCAAATCTGAGACCAAGAGCAAACTTTAGCAAACTCATTCAGCTGTTTGCATGAAGAAGTCTGGCCGCTGACCACTGTCACAGATGGAGCTTTTCTCATTAGAACCACACGGGGGAGGTGGGTAATCTGTTCTTCCCCTGAGATTATCTTGGGGCTTCATAGTCTTCAAAACATAACGATGCGCACTTCTCCTAATGTCATTGTATTTGCTTAGAATGTCCCTTCGAGAGTCTACTCTTTCATATGTCACCTATAAAACAAACATGAGCAGACCTTTTGTCATTCTCAATAGTCAAAACAAAAGTCCAGTGCAAGGTGATGTCATCATCGTAAATGAATACTATGCAAGGGGTGATCAAAAGATAGTGTGGTGCTTAAATTTTAGACAAGACTGATTATCGTAGAAGACACATGGCCAAGAACAATGGGATAAATGTGTTCAAAGCAAAAGGGAGTATTTTGAGTTCTTCCAGGGGAACTAATTGCACTATATCTTTTATTATAATACACTTTAAGATTTAAACATTCATTCTATTTTACGATCACAATTTCCGTAAAATAAAAATGTTACGTTGTGTCCACATCTATTTTATTCACCAGATCTGGCTTCAGGCGACTTTTGGCCCTTCCCCAAAGTCAAAATGACCATGAAAAGTAAATGTTTTGAACCATTTCATTCATCCAGGCAGCCATAACAGCACAACCAAAGACCGACCATCACAAGAGAGGACTTTCAGAATTGCTTTGGAAAAGGGCAGAAACAATGAGTAAAGTGTGTTGGAAACAGGGAGGGGGCATTTTGCGGAGGATTGATGGTAACATATCTTCTCCTGTAATCATTTTTTAATTTTAAAAGGTAACTTTGATCATGCTCCATATAGGCAGAACTATGGACATGTTCCCCCCCCCCCAGGGAAACACTGCTATGTTTATTATTTAAATTCCATGCTTAGCAAATTTAGTAGTCAGTATTTTTAAATAGGCATTTGAAGGAATGTGCAGTGTAGGCAATGGCCAAGCTCTGTTCAGAACCCTTTGAATTTTTAACATTAGTTTGTAGCAGACAACATTTCCCCCCACCCTTCCCACCACCTCCAACTATGCCATGCGAGCTTTTGTTTCCAAAGAAAGCATCTACTGTTCTTGTGAGGGCTGCCACTGAGCTAAGGAGAGGCTTTAACCTGGTACCCCATGAGTGCTGGGGTTTATCTCTCTCCCTACGGCAGCTTTTGATCAATCAGAGGTCCTGAAGCCAGTAAAGAGGCCCAGTTTCCTTGTTCCTGGCCAGGGCATCCCTGCAGCCTTAGCCACCTGTGATGCCTTGAAGGACCAGGCTTTCGCTGCCCTCTATAGGACTTTGCTGAGATGACACCCTTGTTTGGCTCCCATTCCACTCTGGTCTTGCTCCCTGCGCTGGCTGGTTCTCTTGTGATCCACTCTCCTCCACAGATCACAAGCACACAAAGTCTGGACTCCGGGTAGGCTTCGGGGAAGCTGCCCCTAACACAGCAGCTCTGGCCTTGCTGTCCCTCACCCTTGCTAATTTACCTCAAAGGAAAAAATATCACGTACTTGTGCCTTGCAAATTTAAAGGTAAAAGCAAGCTTTTATATTATAAGTTTAAGTAGCTGGAACTGTGTCATTTTTTGTAACATACTGGGAAAACTGACATGTAAAAATAAAACTCCCACTACCCTGGGAGGCTGACATGAGAGACTCCAAGTTCAAGCCCAGCCTGGGCAAATTTAAATATTTTACCCTGTCTCAAAATAATAAATAAGATAAAATAACTGGGAATGTTGCTCAGTAAAAAGACTCTGTGCTCAATCCTGAGTGCTGCAAATAAATAAATAAATAATCTTCCATATTTATCTTAAAACTTATCCAATGCAACCTAAATATCATGATTTGAGTTTACCACTCTCCATTAAAAATATATGCAAACATACCCATGTTTTAAAAGCCAGATATTTTATAGTGTTCATTTCTCTCCTTAAATTTGTATTTCCATTCCATTTCTTCCTTAGAATTTCATTTTAACCATAATATATTTATGTATTTTTAAATCTATTATTGTTTATTGGGGAAAATATACGCACATATATATGCGTAGCTGTGTATAATTTTTATTTCCTATGAGTAATCTTCTATGTGTTAAAATTTTGTCTATATGGACTATCATTAGCATTTATTATAGTAGCATATATATTTAAGTTTTGATAATTCTATCAAGGCAATAAGCATCTTGATTGGAAATGTATTGATTAATTAGATAGGTAGATTTTTCTTTTTGATCTGTCATTTTTCCGATATCTTCATTTTATGTAATGAAATGGGCAGCTTTTCTGTTTGCTGATCATTTGGAAGATTGTATTTTTAGAGCATAACTGTAACCCTTTTCCATGTATACCACCTAAGGCTCCTCTCCACTTCTTGACCACATGAGGCTTTGAAGGGGCCATCCAGACACAAACCATAACAACCACCTGATTCTGTGGGTCATTTCCCAGCAACCTTCCATAAGCTTCGTGTTCTCTGTCTCTAACTTTCTCTTAGTTCTAGGTCCATGACCATGTCTCTATCTAGCCTAAAAAGCTGCCTGTGGCCTCCATATGGATCGCAGATCCTCAGCAACTTTGTCCTCTCCAGGCCCAATGACAGGGGGCTCAGCCAGCAGCCTGCATCCCAAACCAAGGAAGCCCTAGCTGCAAAGGCAGAAGGCAGAACTCAAGCACTGAAGCTTTGAAGGTCCCTTGCCCAGCTCCCTCAGTTCCTTCTGCACAGGGGCTCAGCTTCCTCCTGCCTTCTTAGCACTCTACACCAAGCCTTGACATCTACTCCTCACTCCCGTTATTACCAGTACAACCAACTCCCTTTTTGCCTTTCTAGAGTCTTTTTTATTTTGAAATGTTTTCTTTTTATGTAGACATAGGATACATTTATAGTATATGAGTAACTTAAAATTATACAACAACTTTCCAAACCAATTATCTTTGAATTAATTTCAAGCACTGAAAGTAATCTAACATATTCTACAGGGAGACTAGGACTCTCTACAGTCACCTCATGTCAAAATTGAGTTGCAAATAATTGAGTTATGTACAGTAGTTAGGTTTCTTAAGTTAAGCTAATAATTTAATTAATGAACAAATAATACTTTTATTTCATTGAATTTCTCTTCTGAACTATTAACCAATACCATTTAAAGGAACATTAATATATCCAGCCTAAAGAAAAAAGACTGCAAATTGAAAGAAGTGTCAATATTCTAGATGGTCAGAAATTTCCATTTGTAAGAATAAGTGCTGTGTTTAATGATCTCTTATAGCAAAAAGAGCAGTTCAGTGAAAACAAGTTTATGAAATTCTTCATGTACTTTATGAAAGTTTAAAATAATAAATAGAAAAGGACCATTGAGATATTTTTAAAAACATCATATTCTGAACTGTATTGTGAACTACATGCTAGTTACGATCCATTGTTTGTTACACAGCACTAATGCCCATGATATAACTTACTACAGAATTAAGCTAGAAGAACAAAAATCATTTTCTTTATGAGTATTTCCAAAGAATCAAGTTTCATTAGAAAAAAAGATGTGGATGTAGCCAAATATCTCACATTTAGCAACTTAACATCATAAAGAGGCTGTGGCACTTTCTCTGTTAACTGGATTACTTCTGTCTTTCTGTATTATGCTTCCATCTCAACTTCTGGAGCTTTCTTTTTATTTAGTACCTTAAAAGGAACACACTAGTTTTAAAAACTGCGAACTACAGCAGCAAGAATTTTTGACTGTCAAAAAAAATGATAAATTTATCTTTCAAATCAGAAGTATCATAAAAGTGGAAATTACAGTAGTTAAAGAAATAGAAAAATAAGTCAATTATTATCTGAGTCTTCTGATCATGGCTCCAAATTTAATAATACAAATATCTGTGTATAAAATTTTTTTCAAAAAGTTAATTCTGCCAGCCACATCCTAACCCAGAACTTTCCAAGTCTCTGAGTTGATTAACCTTACAAACCGTTCTCTGCAAAGTTTTACTGCAGTTACAGTCACCTCCATCACTGATAAGGAACACACTATAATAGCATCCCCTGTTATTTTTACAGCTGTCAAAAATAAACTGCTGGTGTAGGTTAATCATCGAGGGAAAGGAGCAAACACAGTGCAGGGCACACATGGTACTAAGTGCACAATCATGAGAGATGGCAACAATACACTTTACCGGGAGATTATTAGTGACTTGCAAACTGTTTACTATTTGTACACTAAACAAGAAAAATTTTAGTGTATGACTTAGTGTAGCAGGTTAGAAACAACTCAAAAATTTCAGACCAAAACTTATCTATGTATGTTTAACTTTACCATGTATCTGTCTTGTTTCTTTGAATTTTCCTCCATTTTCACAGCCTATAAATTTCTATCAGTCAATACAGTATCTAACAATATAAAATTATGTTTAACTCCATAATATTTTCTTTTTTTTTGTCTTTTTCCTTTTTATCGGTACCAGGGATCGAACTCACGACTGCCTGCTTGCAAGGCAGGCGTTTATGCCACTGAGCTAAATCCCCAGCCCCAATATTTTCATTTTACTGTAATAAAAATGACAAATTACTACCTGCCCAATTCGTCTATTAGCTAGCGGGCTCATCGGAAGGAAGCGGGGCATTTTCAGTCCATCAAGCTATGTTAAGTCCAGAATTAGAAAGAAGAGAGATGCAGCTTCTTTTCCAAGTTCTCTCTTTAACTGAGATTTGTTTTTGGTATGTGCAATCTTCCCATCCAGAATAATTGGGCAACAGGTGCTACACAAGATAGATCACTTGCTCAGTCTCAAACACCTAGTTAGGCAGCTGGGATCCAGCTCAGACAACAGCAAGTGCCCGAGGCGATACAAATCATTTTAACCCTGATTTCACCAAAAGGGATTTAAGACATAGTACTGACCTGAGTATTTTGTGGGCACATAGTGTTGTAAGTGATAAAATTCAAGACATTTAATCTAAATATTTCATTTTCCCTTAAAAAAGGAAGATACTAACTAGGAAAAAAAAAAAAACAAGAGGCAGTAACTGCTATTTATTTTAAACTGAAATTAACAACCATATAAACAAAATGCAAATACAAAAAGCATAGTCCTTCAAGGTATGGTCCGCTTGTCACAGTGAAGACTAAATTTAAGTGTACACATTCACAGGTGTTGAAAAATAACTGAAGTATGAAGAGGGCGTAGTGTCAACAGTCAGTCAGTGACTGGGACTGCTATGCTTTTGGGTTTGTAGAATTATAGCTTATTAAGAATGCCTAAATGATGCCTGGCCTGTACAGCTGTCTCCTGCCCAGTCTTGTAAACCCTGCTGCTTCCCAACACTAGAGTGCAATTTCTGCATTTTAGGAGGGAAAACCACAGTTTACAACTGTGGCTCTATTTACTAGACAGATCCTCTTTTGTGTCTGGGGTCTTAGCTCCTTATTTTGGGAGCCCTCTTGTGGCCCTAGATGATCAGCCCTTCTTATTCCATCCTGTCATGGCTACAGACCTAGTGAATCCTCCCTGCTCTTCTTTCACCAGGGGGAACCCAAAGAATGAGGTACTCCGGAGCAGCGCTGGCTAACCTCCTAGAAAGAAGTCCCCAAACTGCAACCTAAAACATTTATTGCAAAGTGCTAACACTGCAATTAACCCTCAATACTGAGGCTTTAGTTTAGAAAAAGCAACTCATGCATTAACATCCTTTGTCTTTAAAGAAAAACAACCATAGTTTCACCACCACTGCAGTAGGCTCTTCAGCTGATATCCAAAAGATTACCTTTCTTTCCTTGTTGCTTATCATTTCCTGAAGCTATCGTTTCTTTTGAAGCTGCCTCCTCCTTGTCATTCACCATCACTTCCCCAGTTGAAAAGAGCAGGTATAACTTCTGAATCAAGTCATCAGCAGAATTATTATTGTTGTTCCCTAATTCAGAGGAATGTTGCTCCTGGGAACCAACGTGACTAAAGAGGTTACTGTCCGCTGTCTCTATTTCGTACACCTCAGGAATAAGTCTGAAGCGATGGAGAGAAAAGATGAAAAATTGGTCAACCAAGTCCCTTGAAGATTAAATGTAAGTACAACCAGATAATAAAACAGGAATCCATCTCATGCATCTAAATATATTTTGCAGATAGAACGCAACTAAGGGGCAACTTCCTAATATCTGAAGCGAAATTGAACCTTTATTTGTCTCAACAGTCTAGGATTCCAAGCCAACATTGTTTCATCACTGAAGTTTTGCTGAGTACTTGGGGTTGTACTTTTAAAGTCAATCTTGAAAGAATTCTTTCCACTAGCCTTCATGTATGTTTTGTTTTCTAAATGTAAAAGCTTTTGCTTGATTTTCTTTTTCATGTTTTTCTTCTGCTCCAATATTTGATGTTATGATTTCTTTTCCCATCACCTAACATTAGAATCATGTTATCTTGTAATTTAATTACTAAAAAGGAACAAAGAAGAGGTCCCTTCATCTCTCAACAAAAATAGAAACAGGTTTCTTCCTAACATAGCTCTGTTCTGTCTGCTACTAATTCCAAACCTGCATTGTCATCCCTAACTACTGCATATTAAAACATTAACATGATCCTCAACTTGCATCCTGCAAACCAAAATGCCATTAACTTAACATTATTTTCCTTTTCTTTTTCTTGTTCTTCTTCTTCTTCTTTTTTTTTAGACAGTGTCTCACTATGCAGTTCAGGCTGGCCTTGAGCTTACTTTGTAGCCCAGGCTGGTCTCAAACTTGCAATGATCAACCTGCCTCAGCTTCCTGAGTACTGGGATTACAGGCATGCACCACCACACCCAGAAATTTTCTGAAGCCCAGTTTGCATTATAGGATTTCTCAAACTTGGGATTTCTGAACTCACAATATAGTGCTTTCTGTGCCAGCATGCTCTGGGCTGGGAAAGGTGATGTTAGTGCACTTGGCTTTCAGATCATTGCTGGGATATTTGTTGATAGCACCTGGAGAGAGAGTGGGCTAGTTAGTGAGTTTACCCTCTTACATTATGAGTATTACCCAAAGTGATTTAATCTTTTCCTATGACTTGTGGTATTTTCAAAAACAAATTAATTTTAAGGGAGTAGGCAAAGCAGGCACACTTTGACATTCAAATACCTTAGTGTGGGCCAAGTCAACAAGATTTATAATTAAATAAAAATATTGCATGGTTTGTATGTCACAGGTTTGTGATATAATTCAAAGACATCTCTTAATTCTGCCTATGACTTTTCTCCCCAGAAACAGAGGATCTTTCTAGCTGACTTCATTAGTTATTGAAATTGCCTGATTTTTTAAATCTTGGGGTTGGAAGAAGACACCATTTTTTTGGCTGTTATTAAATGTAACTCCTAAATTCCAAAATTGCTGAGGACTATGTGAGTCTTGGGGTGCTGTGAGTGTCAGAAAATCCTGCATCCTGAAAAAACTAGCAAACTCCCAGCATCTGCAGGCAACCAGCAGAGTGTACTCTGCCCCGTTCCTGAGTCCCGATACAGGAGGCTAAAGCTAGTTTGGTGCCATAAGACCTTGGGTGTGTCATTGCACCTATGTCTAAAATGACAGAGGCCAGGGAAACTATTTTCAGAGTCCCCTGTCTAGAAATCCCTGCACTGCTGTGCCTGAGATAGCTGTCTGGAGCAGAGGCAATGGAAGACATTCGTGCCTACAGATCAAAAGAATTCAAGCTAGAACCAAGGTGAACTTGTAATGTAAAACAAAACAGAAGTCTTTGGAGCCAGTAGAGGATGGTGGTAGTGGTACTGTTTATTATAGCAGCATACCTGAAGATTTTAGTAACTGAAGTATAGTTTAAAGGACAAGAATATAGCTCTGGGGTCAGAATGTGTGGGTTAAGTCTAGAATCCCCCAACAATTTATCATGAGCTTTTAAGCAATTTATTTATTGTCTCTGAACCTCACCTTTTCCTTTATAAAAAAGAAGTTATGATTATTTTCATTTGAGGGCTGAAGATTAAATTAATATGGTCTATTAAAAGAACTTGGCACATATTTTATTTTTACATCATATACTATGTCTATTCTTGTTTTAACTGACTCCATTTTGTTTTGTCACATTTGGTTTTATTCTCTTCAAACAAAGTATTAAGAACTTTAAGAGTAATAAAACCTAAAATGTGTGATTGTTATTATAAAAAAGAGAGGAAAAGAAAGTGCTCTAGAGGATATAACTGCATTTATGTTTAATTGTGTAAGACAGATAACCATATTACTAAGCTTTTGTTGGATCATTGAACAGAACTGTTTGCAGTCTCACTGTTTGAATGTCCACTTAGAATGCTTTAATTTTGTAACTTGAACAGTGACTTCTAAGATGACAATGTGTAATCTATCAACTAGTGATTTCCTACTATTTTTTAAAATTCTGTATTACTTCTACCCTTTTTTCCGTTTTGCTTTTTTTCTCTTTAAATAAAATTCTTTTAAAAAACTTGGCACATAGTAAACAATCACTTTAGGTTAAGGGAAACTTTTCATACATTTGAAGATTTCCTAGCAAAAACTCACAGGGCAGCAGCAATGCTCAAAGTCAATAAAACCTCAAATTTTTTAGTGAGATATATTTTTACTGCTTCTTACTCTACTTACCTTCAACTACTTACAACTCAAGTGAGGATCATTTGACTAAGACTGCTAGTGGATTGTACACAGAGATACTAAATCCACTGCAAAAGCAGTAGACAAGAAAATTTCTTTTTAGGGTCTTGTACATGCTAAGCGAGCAATCTACCACTGAGTGCTACCCCCATCCCAAGAAGAGAAAATCTTGAATAACTTACGTCTAATTAAATGAACAAATGGCTTGATGAACTTGATGATATAGTCCAAATTTGGCTTGTGGGTCCGGCCAAGTTGGACTAAGTGATGATCCAAGGGGTGGCTAGCTAATTCTTCTAATTCCTTGTCATTGTGTAGAGGACCAAATGAAAACACAAATATGGAATAACCTTGACACTTGGCTCTCAGAGATACATTCTTTAAGATTTCTTTGTCCAAAGGATTGGTTTCACCAGCAGATATTATAAAGATAACTTTGTTTTTCCTTGGATTAGGGGTCCCTACAAAGACATTATCAATTGTCCACTGCAGGGCATGGCCAGTAAAAACATCTCCATTGAGCTGTTGAAGAGAGTGGTGGAGGTGATGTTTCATTTGATGTTTATTGCTATAAGTAATCAAATCAAATTCCAGGTAGACCGGGCATTCTTCAGTGTCAGGCAGATACCCTGGGGGAGAGTAGGTCAGGACAGCCACTCTGTCCCCTAAAGCGGAAGTCAGTGGATCTGGGGTAATGTGAAAGTAATCAAGAACAGAGGCTACCAAAGTTTTTACGTCCTTAAACTCATCATGCCCTATTCTTTGGGAAGCATCTATAAGGAAGGCCACATCCATGTAATATCCTGGAAGAGAGGCGTCTCCTGGTTCATAAATCCGAACTGGTTTTTCTGTCCTGCCATGATTTTCATATCCTGCAACAGAATAACTCAAGTCACTCTTCCCAGTGGAAAAGAAACTCCTAGACATGAATGGCAGATGGCTGGTATGAGGTGTTTCCTTGCTTCATTCCCACACCCATAGCAGACAGCACTAATCAACCACAGAACTTGTTCCCAGATGAATTCCCTAATCTGTCATCACAAAGTGCATAGAGAAGTGTTACTATTAGAGGCATGTTGTCACACAAGAAGAAATCTATTTGCTACCCCATTTTATATCTTTTGTCAATGTATTGATTCAACATCCAACTATTTTGATGTAAGCTGTTTTTTTAGTGGATTCTACATGATTACAAAATGTGACGCACATGTTTTCATTTACCTAGAGATCAAAAAGAGAAAATATAGATGTCAAAGTGACATTTATGGATTTATACAGATGTTCCTTTATACAGATGTTCATAAAATGCACCATGAAGTAATAGCATGAGATCAAATATAAGTACGTACTGACTCTAGAATCCTAATGCTATGTAAGGCATTATATGCTGTAAGACTTTGGTGCTCAAAAAATTGCTAGTTTTGCAGACAGTTTATCTGCTTCATTGCAAGCTAAAGAGCTGTGACATAAGATGACCTCATTATTAAGCACTGATTAGTTCAGTGGACAATGGTTTCCTTGTAGCAAGACTTTCTTGAAGAAGGAAACAGTGATGCAACATTCACTTGGACATAAACTTATTGTATTACAGATGAGAACTTCAAGTAACACTCCTCTAAACTATGAGATTACGAAACCTGCTCACAATCAGGGGGAAGATGGGCCATTGGTGAGATCACAACAGGAAATGCCAGCTCAGAAAGATACGAAGCAGATGGCCAATGTTCTTTCTTCTATGACAGAAGCATGTTTGAAACATAAATAAAGCAATAAAAATATTTTAAATAGCAGTTGTATGGTGCCTGTCCTCAGCCAATGTTGTTCTGTGATAGAAGCATGTTTGTTTGTTTGTTTTTTCTAGAGCCTTGATGGAGTGATAGAAGCATGTTTGAAACATAAGCAATATAAATACTTTTAAATAGCAGAAGATGTACTGGACCCTGTCTTTACCCCTCTACTAGATGTTCTTACATTTATTACTGTACTTGTTCTTCATAACAAATCAATCAATTTGCCTTTATTAATGCTATAAAGGCTTAATATTGAAATAGAATGCAACAAATAAGTTACTAATAGGGCAGGTGCTTATTATCTGGCTTTTGAATACTCAGTGAGTATTACCTCCATTATTGAGGTAAACTCTATTATTACCTTTTATCCATTGTTTGATTTGACTCATTAAATTTTTGTTTAAAATTCTGCATCTATATTTATAAGGAGTGTTGATCCATAGTTTTCATGTTACTTTTAATGGTTTTGGTATCAGGGTAATCTGACTTCAAAGAATGAGCTGAGAAATATTCCTGCCTCTTTAATTTCCTGGAAGAGTTTGTGTAGAATTGGCATTATTTCATCCTTAACGTTTTATTTATAAAATCATTGGTGCCTGGAGTTTCTCTATGGGAAGGTTTGAGCTACAAATTCAATCTCTAGGTACAAGCTATTTAAAGCTAGGTAAAGCTCACTTTTCAAGTGAGCTTTGTAATTTGTGCATTGCAAGAAATTTCTGATTTTCATCTAGGCTATCTAATTTGTATGCAAAATTACTCATAATACTACCTGGATATCCTTAATATGTGTAGAATATGCCTCCACTCTCTCATTCTTTATGTCGGTTACTTGTATCTTTTCTCTTTTTCTGGTGAGTTTGGTTATAGGTTTATCAGTTTTACTGATTTCAAAGAAATATTTCTTTATTGATTTTTATCTATTGTTTCTCTCTTCTATTTTGTTGAGTTCTACTTAAATTTATTACTTTCATCTGTTTGCCTTGAGTTTAACTTATTTTTCTTTTTCTAAATTCTTAAGATGAAAGTGAGGTCATGGATTTGAAACCTTTATCAATATAGGCAATGCTACAAATTTCCTTGTACTTACTTTCTTTTAATCTTACACATTCTGATATTATATTCATTTTCATTCATTTAAAAATATTTTCTAAGTGCTTTGTTCAGTTTGCAAATAGTTGGGCATTGTTCAAAGATCTTTCTCCTATTGATTTTTGTATTTAATTTAGATAACTTAGGTGAAATACAAAAATTTCATGCAATGTACAAATTACCAAAGGTCAGTCCAGAAGAAATAAATGGCTTATGCCTAATAGATTGAGTTTGTAGTTCAAACCTTCCCATAAAGAAAACTCCAGGCACAAATTATTTTACCAGTAAATTTAAGAAAATATCTAAGGAAGAAGTAATTCTTCCTTCAGTGTATCCTTAGGATACACAAACTTGTAGAATAATTAGAATCATTTAAAATCCTAACCATTGTTTTATATCCACAACACTATCTTGATAAAAGTTTAGTGTGCATTTAAAAACACTATATTTTGCTACTGGGTGGAGAATTCTATAAATATCAGCAAGGTCAAATTAGCTGACACTGTTGTTCAAATCTAATATAATACTGCTAATATTCTGTCTAGCTTTTCTACCAATTATTCTGGGAGAATATTGAAACTCATCAATACTCATTCTACTTTTTAAAATCTTTTTTCTCTCTGCTTGACCCATGATCATTTCTATTGCTATACTTTCAGTTTCACTATTTTTTGTGGCCAAATCAAAATTACCATTAATTTCATATCTAGTATATTGTTTACTGGAGAATTTGTGTGTGTGTGTGTACCGGAAATCAAACTCAGTATGCTTACCAGGCAGGCACTGTGCCACTGAGCTAAATCCCTGGCCTTCTTTTTGTCTTTTTGAGACAAGGTTTCACTATGTAGTTCAGACTGGCCTGAAACTCACTTTGTAGCCCAGACCGGCCTCAAATTCCCAGCAATTCTCCTGCCTCAGTCTCCTGAGTGCTGGGATTACAGGCATGCGCCACCACACCTAACCTTTCTTTTTGTACGTTTTATGTCTCTACTTATCTTTGTTACATGTGAATACGATTATAATAACTGTTTTAATAGTTTTAATATATATGTCTGCTAATTGTAGTATCTATGCTAGTTGTGATTTTGTTTTGAGTGATTATACTTATTACAAGTCATGTCTTTCTGTACTTTTTAATGCCAATCATTGTAAAATGTTCTTTTTTGGGCATAGGATACTTTTGTATTCATGTAAACATTTATGAGCTTTGCTCTGGGAGGTTGCATGAGAAGAGTTGGGTCACTGAAGATCTTACTGTTATGATTTGTTAGGTGAATCCAGAGTGGTGCTTAATTTAGGGTCAATTATTTCCTCTTACTGAAGCAAGGCCTTTCTGAGGTTTCTTTCCAGTATTCTATGAATTAAGAGTTTTTACAGCCTTGCTGATTGGAAAGGGACCTATTAAAGGAGGAAAGGGCTTGATGCTCCTTTCAGATGGTGCTTTCTCAGTCTTGGGTGATTTCCTCATATGCATAGGTAATCAACATTCTGCTGGTAATCCATGGCGACCTCCTGCCTATCTCCGGGATTCTTTCTATGTAGAGCTCCCCTCTCCAGCCCTCTGTCCTGTGAGCTCTTAACCCTTGGACCTTCCTGGACCCTCAGTTTTTACCTCCTCATCTCTGGGAGTTCACTCAGCTACCCCTGAATTCTCTGTTCCTGCACCATGATCTGGAAATGCTCCCAAGACAGTAAACTGGAGCAATTGTGGGGTTCTCCTCATTTGTTTCCCATTTATCAGGAGCACTATCTTTCATTTCCTAATGTTCAGTGTCTTTAGAAGTGCTGGTCATTTCAGTTAGGAGACATAGCTTCTTGCTTTTTCCTTCTTGGGTAGAAAATGAGTGAACAATGACTTCCTTTCTTGAGATTCTCCACAGGATTTCCCAAAGGATTAAGAATTAGTGATGTATGTACCAGATTATTCCTTTATTAATGCATTTATAGCACTGAACATAAGCTTGCAATGATAGCACTGAACATGTTTGAAATGTATGAGCTTCCCATTCCCCACCAGGAACCCAGTTCACACTCTTCTTAGAATTTCTGATTGCAATGGAGGCCTCTGACAAGAGTACTAACTATGAAACAAGAAATGGACAAAACAGCATCTGTTTTATACTCTTATTTGCTATGGATTTTACATAATGCACATCAGCACTAAAAACTTATCTGGAATTTTCAGCCATAATGTATTACAAACTATGAAGATTAATTCCATGGCCATTGCTGTCTTTGGACATTTACACTTCTGGGTTTGACAATTACCTGCTCTCCCATTAATATCTCTGTTTTCCAACACCAGTATTTCAGTGTCTTAAAAGAAACACTAAGACTAACACTTTGTTATAACAGAGAGGAAACTTTCATAGACGTTCTGATAGAAGAGGAAGTACCGATTTACTATAGTAGTACGATATTTTTTCATGGACACACACACCAAAAATATCACTGGTTTTCATATTTTCTTTTGAGCAAAATCTCAATTCTTTCCCAAATATTTGGCAGTTATTTTTTAAAAAGGCATATTTCAACTTTTAAAAAACCCTCTAAAAGTAGATTCCCTCATTATGTATAGGATTGGCATGAAAATCAGTGGAACTAAATGCATATGATTTTTTCCTGGAAAACACTACATTTTTGTCAAAAATAAAGTGTGATCATTTTGCTTTGTCTCAATTCATTTTACAAAAACAGGAACTTCAGAAATGTTTTCCTTTAAGAAAACCTAGCAGCTCAGAGCAATGTTGGATATTTTCTAGAAATGTCAACTAAGCCAAACCCTCTGTGGAGGAATTTCCCCAGAATGATAAGAGAGGAAGAGCTGGCTCATTTTTTTACGGACAAAATATGGATGAATGAAGGATCTGGCTGGATTTCCAGGGAAGAACCCCTAGAGACTGACTTAATTTTGGCTAAAGATTTAAGCTATAATACCAAGTATGATCTCACAACTTCAGGGAGAAGTGGGGGTAGAAAGAAATTTTAACAGA